ATGCTGGCCAATTGCTGATTCACATTTTGGTGGTAGAACTTTTGTTTTACAGGAGAGACATGCACACTCTTAGTTTTTATTGATGTGGGTACATGTTGTTTAATTCTATCCTGCAATCTTTGTGGAGTGCGACCTACATACCGACATTCGCAATGGCACGAGAATTCATAAATAACCATACTTTTCTGTGTGGTAGGTATCGCATCTTTGTCTGGCGAAAAGCTTCAGTAGATATTTTTTTTGCAACATCTCAACCAACAATTGGTCGAGTTATCAATGCTATTTCAAGTTTTGAATAACTCGACTTTCAAATCTTCGTATCTACATGAGCCAATGTTTCCATTTATGACCATTATATTTTAATATTTGTGCAAGAACTCAGCTAACAGATGTTTCCATATATCAAAGCTATCTTCAAGTTTTGTACAACAAAACACCTTTTCAAGTAATAATTCAGTTCAATCTTGTAAGCCATTTGTAATATATGTATTCATGTGTATTTCTGAAATGGTATATTACCTCCTCTCACATAAATAGCTATTCTTGTTCAGTGCTACCCTCTATATGCATAAAAAAAATTTCCCATGCCACAAGCCTTAAGCTTCCACGTATCCTACAATCAACATGGTTCAAGTGTGTCATGTAAATCATCATGCAACAACCCTCCACCAGTAGGAGTGCGACACGCACTCCTGATGCATGTGACTCCCTCTATTTGATTCTACCAAACTATCACTTCTCATTTGGCAGTGCTCGTGTCAAGACATTTTTTATTGTGCTCTTTGATCATGTTTTTTCTTTAAATCTTGCATTTTTTTAAAACTTAATTCTGAAGTGGAATTGTTCTTTTCAAGATAACTTGTTTTTCCCGGTTTTAATTTTTCTAATTCTAACACTATGGTGTTTGATCATTCATTGTGAACAATGAATTCTGAAGTCCAAGTTACCACTTTGGAGGTAATACCTTCTACTAACACACTTATACAGGCTACAGGTGGGGTAACTTAGCTCTCATCTGCCATGAGATTGATCATTATATGAGTCAACCCACTTCTCCTAATGTTGCCCATATTCCTCTTGAACATGCCAAACCTGTTCAGATTGATGAGGAATTTGACAGGTATTTTCCTCCACCTGATTTTTCCATGTCTTCCTATGTCCCTACTGCAGAATCAGCTAGGCCTAATATGGCTTTTTTAGACATGATTTCTCAGGTATGATCTGTTTTATTAATTTCCCCAATTTCTTTTAATCCCTTCCTTCTTTGTTTCATGATACCTCTTCCTCTCAGGATTTTGTATTCCCCCCTTTCCCAGATATTAAGGTTCATGCAGAAAATTTTGTCTCTCAGATGGTTGAGGATGCTAGCATGCCTCACCCTTCATGGACTTCAGATCACTTTGCTTTAGCCGACCATCAGGCTCAATTTCCATTCCTTGATTCTCAACAGTTAGAATCGATTTTGCCCAAATGGGGAGTGGACCCTGATCATCCTGTTTGTTAATTCCACACCCAATCTTCCTGCCTTCGACTTACTCAATCGACTCTCCTCCAGTACTTGTCTACTATCCACCTCCTTTCTAAGGCACTCCACTGAGATCCTGAGGGTTTTTGAGGGATAACCTCTCCTTGATTACCTCCACATTGTCATGTTTGTCTTCTTTGGCTCTTTCCTTACACACGTGTTTTCTCTGTTGTTGGGATCTTCTGGGGAGGGATGCTGTATTATTCCAAGTTTGTTTACCACCTACTTATATCCAGGAGTTACATATGGTCCCTTCTCTCCAGCTGTCTGTTTTTGGGAATATTCCTGAGACCTTGGAATCCTATGTTGAATCAGTGAGAGAGTAATCAACACTTTCATGTTTACCTGATTGTTTGTCTCATTCAGAGCCTAGATAAGCTATTATTACCGTTTCCCTTCCTGCTCTTTCCGATCTCTTACCAGTTCCTACCTCCAAAGGTTGCTCTTCTTGTCATATTATTTGGTGCAGGTGGATACGTTGCTAACAGTACTGCTGACTACCTGGTGGGTTCCAGTGCAGTGGGGCTCACTTGACCAATTTTGTTCCTCTATGGTGAGTTTTTGCCACAGATCTGTGGGTTATTCAGGTATTATCTGAGGGACTTGCCATCCACTTTCTTTCCCTTCCTTACATTGTCTTGGGTACCCATATCCTTTCCATTGTCTTGGGATCCTACAACCAGGCAACATCTATTCGAGGCTGTACAAAATCTTCTCTCCCAACAAGCCATCGAACCTGTTTTTATTTTAGGCTATTTGTGGTATCCATGAAAACCCGGGACTGGCAGCTTTGATTGATTTGTTCTTCCCCAATAAATTTTTGGTTCTGCCATGATTTGCTATGGAGACTTTTCACCCTCAAGTTGGCTTTTTCTCCAGGTTTATGGATGACCAAGGTAGATGTCACGAATGCTTATCTGCATATTTCAGTATCTCCTCTGTTGAGGCACTGTCTTCTTTGTTCATCACAGGGTAGTTCATCAATTTCGTGCTCTGCCTTTCAAGTTTGCTTTGTCTCCAAATGTCGTTTGTTGAATGGTCAAGGCTTTAGCCTGACATATGCATACTCGTGGGTTGCACTTGCACCATTACATGGATGACTGGCTTCTGGTATCTCATTCCAAACAGGAGTCTGCCCATCACACTCATCTGCTCCTCCTAGAGACAACTCGTATGGGTTGGTTAATCAAGTTGGAGAAGCCTTATACCTACCCAATATCTTGTCAATTTGGGTGTCTTTTTCAACACTCATCTCAGACAGGCACCAAACTTCTACTCTTTGACTCCATGCCCTTACTGCTCATGAAGTTCTATTGCTTTTGGGGATATGGTCTGCTATGGAAGCCCTTATACCCTTGGGTCGGGTGCATATGTGGTCTCTTCACTGGGCTCTGCACAATCAGTTGGACCTTGTGCGGGATCCATTAGAGGCTCCTATTTCGCTTCCTCCTTCCCTTGTGCGATCTGCATTGGTGGTTACACAGAGCTTACATGTCAATGGGTGTACTGCTTCCACCCCCTCATCCAAATTTGCATATCTTCATGGATGGTTCCCTCCAGGGCTGGGGGTGTGGATTACTTAGCAGGAAGCTTCAAGTCTGTGGTCTCTAACCAAGCGATCTTACCATTTCAATATCCAGGAGTTTCTAACTGTACATCGTGCTTTGGATAATTTTCTTCATCTTGCCAGGAATCCTCTAGTCATGATACATTCCAACAATTCTCCTTGTGTGCCATGTTCCAGATGTATTCAATCTGGTTGTGGATCATCTTTCTCATCCCAACTAAGTTTATCTGATGGAGTTGTCTCTCAATCCTATGGTTTTTCAGTGGCTATATACCTTTAGTGGAGTACTTCTCAGCTGGATGAGTTTGCCACATCCCTCAATACCAAGTTACCTCTGTTTTGGTCTCCGGTTCCTCATCTACTTGCACTGGCTGTCAGTGTGTTCAGTCAGGATTGAACCAACAAATACTTGTCCCTATTGTTGCATTCCTTCTGGATTCCTTGTCCTCCTCAACAAACAGTCCTTCTGGATTGGGATGTCAGTGTGGTTCTTTACTGCCTTACTTTGCCACTGTTTTGAACATCCATCCTTGTGTTCAATTTTTCATTTATCCCATAAGACTTATTTCCTTCTCCTAATGGCCTGTGGACGTTATCAGTCGGATTTATTTGCCATTGACATTTCATGTACACTATATCATTCCACATATGTTTTTCTTTATCCAAATAACTTTTTCCTTCCAAAACTTCGGCAACTTGTGAGGGTAACTCCACCTCCTCGCTGATCTCCCTTCCTTCCATTACCCACCTATATCCTTGGTCTGATCTGGATAGACAACTATGTCCCATATGTGCTCTTCATTGTTATATTGCCTGCACATCTTCCTTCCGTACTGCCTTTTCCCATCTCTTCGTTCCATGGCAGATATCCTTGTGACATTTCTCCTTCCACCTTTACCAATTGGGTTTGGCTTTTAATTTGATTGGCTTAAACTTCTTTGTCTCCTTCTTCCCGTAATTTGTTACAGGTGTCTTCTCATGAGATTAGGCACCTTACCTTTTCCCTGGCATCTCATCTACGTCATCCGTTAGAGGAAATACATCAATTGGGCATGTAGGCCACTCCACATATGTTCCTCTTTCACTACCTGCATCTTATCGCTGTTTCATCAACAGGTTATCGTCTTCCACTTGTGACCATTCTTCATACTTCTGTGAGACTGTGATTAGGTGAGTTATCTTTTTTATATATACCTCTTACTTTTCAGGGGCTTTCCCCTTTTTAATGTAAAAAGTGGAGCCTGACCAGGTGTTCTTCAACTAGTCAAATTCGCACTGTCGGGCCATGTTGACATAATATTTATAAATTTCATGGCCACTAAATGCTCACTGTTGAAATAAAGTGTTCCACAAGATCGCTTTTAAGTTTTTCCTCGCAATAACAATTTGCCTCATTGATATGCCTGTTCCGGACCATACTCACCCATGGACTTCACGGGTAAAGCAGAAGGGGATAGCTGCCCATCTCTTCCATTCCTTAGACTGAATAAATCAGGTGTGGTCTGCTTTTCAAAATATGGTTTTTATTATTACCCACTGCACTGTCTCTGATGTTGATGTTCCTCCGGACTGTCAACCATATTTTCTTCCAGTGGAGTAAGGGAGCCCTAACCACTTTCCAGTTCCAAGTCACTGGAGTGGTAGACCATGGAAGCACCCTCCTGAATGTGGTGATATACGATACAAAATGAATCCAGTCAGTTGAGAGTAGGGTGGTGGTGTAGATGATGAGATGTCCTCCCATCTGATGCTCCATCTATAAATGAGTTTATACAAGGGGTTATTGTAGCTTTGGAGTGAGTCATCAAAATTGTAGTTCACCCCTTTGATTGGGATCCCTCATCCTATCCCCAGATGGATGTCGGTTCCCAGTGGCTGGGTTTTGAATTCAGAGCTGAACCAATCAACATACGTCTTCACAAATGGATTACAGGTGTCTCTGTTCCCTCATTCAATTGGACTCTTGTTCAATACTACTGTGTTGTAGGTCACAGTGGAGGAACTTGCACTATCCCTCAGAGATTTTAATATACCAAAAATGTTAATATGCTGGGGATGGTTCCTGTGTGATTGATTTGAGTGGACTATTTCACTATATAGGGACATTTTTAATTTTCTCTCTTTGCTATCATATGTCCTGTTCACAGATAAGTGGGTATGATATATCCCTTTGGTCTGCTGAACTTGAGGTAAAGATGGTATGATCCTCTTTCCTACCTCCACCTGGTGGCTGGGTTTTGGATTGCAGTTGACTTGCTGCTGGTATAATCTTCTTTCCTACCCCCACATGAATGTCAGTTCCTGGTGATTGAGTTTTAGATTATAGTTGACTTGCCAATGGTATGATCCTTTTTCCTACCCCTACATAGATGTCAGTTCGCAGTGGCTCGGTTTAGGATGCAGTTGGCTTGCTGTGTATGGTCTGTCACACCCTAGCCACTCTACATCTTGGGGCACATCCTTTTTCCTCTCATCCACATTACGGTCATCTAAGGAACTGAAATTCAGAGTCGGTGGTTCGGATCCCTATCCAACCATTGTTCTCTTCCTTTTGGATGTGCTACTCCCATTTTCCACCCCTGTCTGCATAACCTCTTTCCACACTGGACAAAGAGTATACCTGGTACAGAAATGGTGCTGTCTCCCATGTATGTTTCTTTAATGCAAGAATCTCCTCTTTTAGAGGTTCTTCAGTCACTGTGGATGAATGCTTCTCTTTTTCCTTCACACCTGTTCAGTGTGGGATTCTGGCTATTTATGTGAGAAGAGATGAGGTATCATATCAGAAGTTATAATTTTTCTGTACTGAAAATGTATTTCCGATACTTACTTACCCCCTCTCACACTTCCCACTGAAAACTAGTGCTTCCATTTTCTACCAAAACTCAAAGTGATAGTTCGGTAGGATTGAATAGAGGGAGTCACATGCATCAGGAGGGTGTCACATTCCTACTGGTGGAGGGTTGTTGCATGATGATTTATATATGAGACGTAGTAGAACCGTGTTGATTGTAGGGTACGTGGGAACTCAAGACTAGTCGCATACGAAAAAATGTTTGCATATAGAGGGCAGCACTGAACAAGAATATTTGTGTGAGAAGAGTTAAATACCTATTGAAAATATATTTTCATTATAGGAAAACAGTTATAAAACTTTAGGCAAAAAATAGCAAAAACCTTTCCAAATTTAATAAAAAGCCTTCCCGTATTATAATACTTGTTAAGAGTATTTATAGTAATGGTTTCCTTAATATGAAGATTTTGAAATTTATCATTAATATTTTTGTATTTGTGAAACAATTATTTTCAAATAATAATATTTGCAAATGCATATTAGAATTGTATCCAGAAATTGAAAGTTTTTTGTTTTTTTTTTTACAGAATTCAAGCTTTAAATACCAAGAGTAAATTCCAAAAGTACAGAGTGTACTCATTGTTTATCAATATAGTTGTCCACAATGCTTTTGCACTTTTGTTGACATTAATCTTAAATGACTGTAACTTCAAGATAACAGGCATGCCAAACTCAACAGCATAAATACACAGCAGCAGATGGTCATGAACTGTAAAACTCCAGTTGGTCTGTAGCATTTGACTTCATTGCTGTTACCTGAAATGAAAGAAATATTCATATTAAGGAAACTATAACTACACTCAAGATTAGACCAACCTTTAACAAGAAATTGTAATGCAGAAAAAATAGTGTTTAATTATGTATAACCTGTAAGTTTATGTGTATTGTATTTCAGATTTTAGAAATTTTGTGTACATCAAATTTGTCCCCCAGTGTGTTAATGGTTGTTTTATAAACTTACAATGCTAAAATCCAGAGTTTGATTTTCCATAGTTTGAAATTATATTTACTTTTATTTGTTTATTAAATGAAAGTGTTGTTTCTTTCTACACCCATTTTAGAACACATTCTAAAATCACTCACTAGTTTTTCAAGTACAGAAGAGAAGCTGATGGCCTTGTGTAAAAAGCAGATAGAGGTATTAGAAGATCAGCGAACACTGGAGGTAAAGTTGAAACAGACTGAAAGGCATGTTCTACAGGTGACAAAAGAAAAAGAACAGCTCCAAGCAGAACACAACCGTACTGTGCTAGCCAAAAGTCGTCTAGAAAGCTTGTGTCGAGAATTGCAACGGCAGAATAAAGCTGTAAAGGTAAGCGGGTACAACACTTTGCCTGTTAAATATCATTACTTACTTGTTAATAGATAAGAAAGTTTAACCTTCTTGCTATGGGCTCAGTGAATTACACTGACCTTGTGACTCCAAAGTGACCATCAGAGTTTCCATACCATAACTTTTAATGTGTTTTGTGTATCTTCATGAAATTTAATGAGCTTTCAGTAAACATTAAAAGTATTTTTACTAAAAATTTGTCTGTGAATATATGAAGTCAGAGTGTTGACTGCTCCAAGTGATTTTCTTGTTAAGATTAAAATACTTTTGTTCACCTGAAAATTTTCAATTTTCATTAGCATAATCTCTAGAATTTAAATAAATATTAAACGTTTTTTTTCAATAAAGCTTTAGATTTGATCTGTTATTTTCTCTGCTCTAACTCTGTATGCATTTGGTTAATTTGACTGACCTCATAACCACCATAAAAAAATACGAAACAAATCTAAATTACTCTTTTACTTTCTAGAATGCAAATGTTGCAATTCTCATACTAATGGAGATTGAGAATTTTTAAATATTTCCTTATAAAATTAACAACCAAAAATGTATATAATATTAGAATTTGATGTATTAACTATTTTTTGATGCCAAGTTTACTCTTATACAATGATAATAAAGTAGTTTAATTAAATTTTAAATGTAACTCTCTAAAATGTCGTGACATGCACACTGTTACCTACGTGTAGTGAGAGAGTTTATGCTTCAGTTGCCTACTGAAAGAGACATCATTTTTTACTTTCACTGTTTTCACAAGGAGTTACGACGAAGTTATCTTTCAGAAAACACACACTTACCTCTCTGCACAATGAAGAACTATTACTTTGTGCCACAGCCATATAGATGTTCTTACAAGCACAAGCCTTTTAAAGAAGCTCCTGTACTCAGCACATATTAACATGTACTGTGTCAACCTATGATGTAATCATCATTAGACTTAACCTTCCACCAGTGCAGTTATAGTATATTAACCCTGGATGAA